GTATGGGCAATACGGTTAACACTCAACAACTCGAAAGAAAAGAAAATATTCGTTATCTTGGTGTTATTTTCTCAAGCGACTTACTATGGAATAGTCATATTAATTTCATTACTAATAAGGCGAGCAGCATGTTAGGATTTCTACGTCGCAATTTTTGCAATTGCCCGAAGGAATTGAAGGAAACTTTATATTTCTCTTTTGTACGTTCAGTTCTGGAATATGCATGCATAGTTTGGGACCCCCAGACTAAACATCTCTCGGATAAATTAGGACAAGTGCAAAATCGCGGCGCTAGATTTGTCTAAAATATTTATAGGTTCAAAGCGAGCGTCACGGCCATAAAGCAACAGTTACACTGGCAACCGCTGTCGTACAGACGAAAAAAATCTAAGACTAAAATTTTTCTACTGTCTTTATAATGATAAAACTTGCATCAGTAAAGAAAATTACATTCGATGTCCTTTCTACGTGTCGGAAAGAGTGGACCACCAATACAAAGTTGCAACCATTAGCTCTTGTTGTAAATCATATTTTGTTCGAACTGCATTAGAATGGAACATGCTTAACGGAAATGTGTTTCCATCTGTGTTTTCAGCTGAAATGTTCTTTGTAAACCTCTCCCTGCAATAATGCCTCCAAGGCGATGCAGGTAACCTCAATAAATAAATAAATTTATTGAGGTATGGCTTGTAGCTGCAGGCGAAACTTCAACCAACATTGTAAGCATGGTTGACAGGGCAGGCAACGCATGAATCACAGTTGGTATATGAAAATAAAGAAATATCACCACAATTGCAGGAGCTTTCACTATATATTTACATCTCGCACAATACATGCTGCTGATGGTCTGAATGAATTGGCAGGTTATGTATACTATTTTTTTGTATCTCTGTTTTTAAACAAGATCGCCGATGCAGAAAAGCTGCACGCTGCTCGAGCAACATACTAAATACCGTCTGGGCCATGGGGAGAGAATCACCAGTAAGACAGCACAAGTGCAGGGCAAAGTAAAAAAACAAGGAACATTTATTACATACATTGCTCGCATTTGACCTTTGCTGGGTTCGGATAGTATTTCAATGGACTACACGGGTGGTATCTGTGAACTTGTGTATATCAACCCTCAAGTAATGTATAACAAACGTAAGCGAAGGTGTCTAGCTCGTTATTAGTCTCTTAAGCCTTAAAATTGAGATTTTACTTAAATCGAATTCCTGAAGCTAAAATACCAGAGGCTTTTCTCACGCGCAGACTGTCGCCCTTCACAGGTTCCACATTTTCTGCTCTTAGTTTTGCACCTACACTGGACAGCCGTTCGAATGCTTGCTTTTACTCCTGTTTTCCATTGCTGTCAGAGAGTCCAGCTGTAGGGAGTTTGGAGGCTGAGGAAGCTTTTGGTGACCTGCAGCAGTGTCTCTTTTAATTGGAAATGTCAATTCAGACTAAACGGTGTATTTTCCGAATACCCAAGGCTGGAATAAACAATGTCCGGAAAAAGTATAAACATTCCAAATTGCAATACTAGTGCTGTGCATATTTTGGGCAGTTCAATACATATCATACAGGCAACTGCGGGCAATTCGGCCGTCTTTGCTGCTAGCATACAAACTGATTTCCAGTAAATGTGCATCTTCTAAGAACTACGCCTGCATACGTGTATAAACTATATAATTAATTCATGAAGAAGCTACATTTACTTAAAACAACCCTGTTTCACGAGCACTTCAAAGATAATCAGACACAGGACCTTTAGAACATCTGCAAACCAGCGCATGCAGAGTGGCAGCGCAGAGTCGGGGTCGCGAGCTAATTTGACGACCACCCAAAGGCCCATGATATAAATGCCACTTCAAATGCCTTGAAGGCGGGATGTAATATCGTCCTAAATCATGAACATGCAAGGAACAGAATTACAGCGTCTGAAACACTTGCGCCACCACTTCACCGACCCCTCGCAAGATTGCCTTGTGTCGTGTGGACGGACGGGGAGGTTCATCGGTGGAATTGCCTCCGCTGATAGCTTTCGGGATTTGTAACCCAATTTTAAAGGTAAAAGGGACAAGCAAGCTTATAAAATGTACGGATGCACGTCAATATCGGCCTAACTTAACGTCTTACACCGGGTAAACGAGGTCCAGCTCCTCAAAGATCTTGCGGCACACAACGCCAAACCAGGAAACCGGTGCTGGGAAGCAAGCCGATGCGAGATCGCGGAGCGGAATCCTCCCCCCGACGTCACGGTACACCTCACCCAATCAGGGCGCGGCGACCGCAGCGACGCTTGTGTTCGCTCTCGGGGCTAATAGTCGGTTGCAAGTCAAGAAGGTAGGAGAAGCTCCTCCCACAAGTGTGATGCGCCCGTTTCAAATCTCTCCGCAGTCGAAAGAAGAGTTCACTGGAAACGCTCCTTGTTCCGCTTCAATGGATTTCCACTTGTCTCCGATCCCACTTTTTAAGAAAGCGACCTTTGTATTCATCGGAGAGGGAACCGAGCCCCTGAAAGCAGCCTTTGTATCCATCGGGGGGGAAGCTAATCCCCGAAGGTCGTATTTGTTTCCGTCGGTGGGTGGAATTCTAATCTCCCTCTCGTGGCTTCCACAATGCTAAGTCGAAGTCGAAAGATAAAGCAAATATGTACAGAAAGGCAAGACCCTCCTCGCGCGTTGGCCGCGACGTCACGGAAACGGTGGGACGCTATTGGATGCGGAGGTGGCGGAGGGATATCCGATTCCCTTTGAGGGGCATTTGCCGCTACCTTCTTAACCTGTAACTGACTATAGTGTAGGCCGCGTTGTGACGTTCGCTATCTATGGAATGGCTTGCACGTTCCTCGATGCAGTTGTTACGCCATTGTACTGGGGTTCCGCCCTTCTAATAATCGGCACGTGACTTCCGAGAGGGGTCTATTACGCTTTTTCTAAGTTGCTCGCGGACGCTAAGGTGGAAGGATTTATTAGTGGATATAGTCTCGTGGAAGGAAATACCGAGAACGAAAGAACTATAATAAGAGCGTACTTGTCGTCTAGATAGGACACAGAAAGCGCAAGATGCATTTTTTTCTTTGCTTAACTCAGTTGTCCTGTTACCGCGCGCAGACAGATGTTGAAACATGCTCGTAAACGACAGTGACTCGTGCATAATCGAACGCTGGAGTGCCGCTTTATGTTCCGCGAAGGCATTACATGGTCGCGTCTTACGTCTTTCACGTGTCTTACGTGCCCGTAAGACGTGTCTTATGGGCACGTACACCCTGGCTGAGAAGCAACAGGCCTATAGTAGAGATCTGGGGCCCTAATCTGGACACTTGGCGAAAAAGTGGGCGAGAAATTTGGCGGCTGTGATTGGCTGACGCCGCACTTGACCTTGGCGCCGGCCAATCAGCGGAGTCAGATTTCTCGCCGTCTTTCTCGCCAAGTGTCCAGATTAGGGCCCCAGAGGTCGGAAAGCGCGCCGAAAACAGAGGGCTAATTGATTCTTCTAGATTAGAACTGCCGCCGTTGATAAACCACGTTGTGCACTTACGTGCCGTCCAGCTTCTTTTTCTTTGTTATTAAAGCAAAACGAGTCCGCACATTCTTCATGCCATTGCATTTTATTGGCTTGACTCATGAAGCTTTTACGTGGGTTTTACAAGCAGCAAACAAAAATAACGAGCATGACGCTGCGATATCGCGCTTGGAAGAATTAACGATGTCAGGCAAAGCGAAGCCGACGCTACAATCTAGCAGCCCCAAAGACGCTGCGTCATGACTTTCGTTATATTTTCCTTCTTGCTCCGTCACCGGCGAAACCAATCGAGTATAGTGAGTGGGTTGTGACCTCATGATTCCAGTGTGCTTGTTCGATTTTGTATGTCCCTTAGTTCTTACTCGAATCTATCCGAGTTACTCCGGCGGGTCCGGTCACGCAATAACATAGATAGAGCAAGGCTTATGGGGGTTCAGTCTCCCCCCTGCGACGAAAACATAATGAAACATTTTATCCTGCAAAATGTTTCAAAGAAAATAGAAGGGACGCAAAACGAGAATGGGTGATGTTTTACGCTTATATTCTAAATATATTGTTTTCGCTTGGGGACGACAAAACTATGTTTTCACCCATACTGGAAGTGACGGCATTCAAAATGGCGGCACCCTTGTGGAAAAGGTTTTATTTGAGGTGATATGGTATCCGCTATCCTTTAATGCCGCGTCATGTGCGAATTTAAAAAGAGAGAAAAAAATAATTGAATAAATTTAGACAAAATATACATTGTATTACAATATAATTTAGCCATTTTTTTATATTATAGTGTAAATATATTAATGGTGAAATCAGTTTTGTTTCAGGCTTCCAAGGGCGTGTATACGTAACGGTTTGCAAAGTGGCGTGGGTTGTCGTGAGGTGACAGTTACCATCATATTGAAGCACTGACCCGGACAGGCTGGTAAGCCTTTGCGCGGTTAGCATAAACACACGAACGCCTGAACTTAGCCTACTTTGATTATCTATGGATTCCCACATGTAAGTACCCACTTTTTCAAATCCGGTACCGCCAACCGCCTTACTATGGAACCGCTATAGTTTGACTCGTTCCATAGTATACCTTCTACTGTGGCATGGCTTTCTTGTTCCCTTGGGTATTACCCGATCAACCTCTACTTCACACAGGACGGCCTGGCGCGTGTATCTCCGCCGCGGCTTAAGGTGGGTTCACACAAGGGCGCTTTTCTACGTTACGTTATGTAACGACCGCTTACGTCGCCAGTCACCGGCACATCCACGGTTCGAATGAAGCGTGGCGACCCGTTCGAGGAGCAGCTTTGCACGCGGCGTACAAAACACACATGTTCCGGTGACTCCTTGCTTAACTAAGGTGAGAAATCGTAGTAAAACGCCCCTCTGTGAACCAGCCTTCACGCGTTTCGATATATAGAACTTACTTCGTCAAAATGTACACTATGTACAGCATTCCATCAAGCTTACCGAAAATGTAATCAAGCTACTTGTGGTCCCAAGAGATGCATGGCTTAGTCGCTTTTCACAAGTACGTGTACTCTTTAGTGCTGTGCCGTCGGCATCTTGGCGTGGGGTTTCGGTCTCCCCGCAGCACCCTGCACGTCTCGGGGCCCTAGTCTGGACACTCGGCGAGGAAGTGGGTAAGAAATCCGGCGGTCGCGATTGGCCGGCGCTGCCCTTGACCTTAGCAGCGGACAATCAAGGCCGCCGAATTTCTCACCGACTTTTTCGCTAAGTGTTCGGATTAGGGCCCCTGGAGTGTTATGCGATTGTCAGTTCATCAAATTTTTATGGCGTTTTTAATTATTCGCAACACATATTTGCCTTTTATGACGCCCTGGGTCATCATGCAGCCTTCGCATCAGGAGTCTTTTGTCCGACGACGTGGAAAGAACTGTGCACGCACTGGGCGTCCTCTGGAAGGAGATCGGCGTCCCGGACGACGAAGTCCTCCGTCGCCACCACAAGCTTAGGGACTGCATAGTGCAGGCGCTTGGAGACATCCTCGCAGGGGAGGTGGAGATACGAGACCGGTTGCTGAAGAGCATCTCGGACACTGAAGCCCATGTCGCCGTGCTGACACGCGAGCTTCAGGTCCATGCAGAAAAGGTGAGTTTGCGGTCGGACCATCCGGAGTTGAGAAGCGCCCAATCACGGTCGCTTGACTCTGGTTTCCGCTTTGCTGGGAGCGTCCTCCGAATGGCTATTTTGGCCGGGGGAGGTGCTCAAGGTGGCCGCTGTGAGGGGTGTTAAACCCGGTGGCGCTGAAGTGCGGTCACAGTTAAAGCACCTTGATAAAATTCTCGCTTTACGTTTCTTGCAACTGCCGACAACCACTGCTGTGCGAATACGCAAGACATTTGCACGAGCAGATGTAATGGAGCCATTCGTTTCCAAGGCAGTTGAGGGCTAGCGGCTCATTTCAATGCTGTGCCGCTATCAGTCTTGGGTTATTTAAAAAAAAAAAAAGTTATTCGTTACTGTTAGTTATTTTTCGAAAAAAGTGGCGGAGTTAGCGTTATAGCTACCGCAACAAGAAAGTAACTAGTTAGTTACAATTACCTTCAAAAAGTGGCGGCATTATTTTCAAACTACTTTTTCATAACACAGAGTGAAAGAAATGTACGCGTTTTACTTCGTATTGTAGCTAAGCAGCAGTTGCTTCTCTTTTAATTACTGTCTGAACATTTTCTCTCGTTTGATGGTGAACACATCTTTGGCCTTACTGAGCAAGAGTTGAACTGACGCGCTAGATAAAATGACTGTGTTGTGTCCCACGAACAGGCGTTTAATTGCCGGTTAGGCGTCGAGGCTACAAAGAGCCGTTGTCTCCGAAGTCCCCTTTTTTCCGCCGCTGCGCCTCGCTGGTAGACACAACGTTCAAGCGAAGTTTAAGACTTGGAGGGTTCACAGAAATCCTGGAATTATTTCACTTTGTCCCCGGAGAGACAGGGACGAACCCCGAGCAAATAGCAGTTAGTTCTGCTTTAGACCGTTGACCCAACTCCGGACTAGTGGCGCTAATCAAGGTACGGAACATGCCCACACTCTAAGAAAAAAAGGGAGGAGAAAGGTAGCAACAGCGACTGTTCCTCCTTGTTGCGGACAAGTTGCCCAGAGAAGGGAGGAACGGCAGTTCAGATGAAAGGAGGGGGGCGAGTTCCTCCTTGTTCAGTTGGCGCAGGGGTAAAACATCGCGCTCCTGACCAAGTGGTCAAAAATTCGATCCCCAGAGGAGCGGTTTTTTGTTTTTTTCGTAAATTATTTTTTTTTTTTTTACCAAAACACGCATAAACAAACCCAGACCGATGAAAGGAAAATTAAAGTCCTTATTATTCACCGAGACGTTTTCCTCCTTCTCCAGGCAGACGGGAGAAAGCTTTCGCCCTCCCGACTATCTTCTTTCAGTTTCGTTTGTCGAGCACATCGCGCACGTTGTTTAATAAATTAATGTTGAGTTCATTGAGCTTCAGCGGCAGCGAAGGCTGCCTGTAATTCCGTCTTCTAGTCCAAACGTGCAGAAAATTTCGGTTACATTGACGTTTTTACCACTCATTTTATCAAACGAGCTAACGAAGCCGCTAGAAACAGCGAAGTTCCGGAGCAGTGCCAGCAGCGCTACATACACTGGGTAAGACGGCCGTCTCCAATTTGCGGGACACACGCGGAACTACAGCGGCGAAACCACGAAGAACTGTGTCGACGTTTTCGACGTTATGGAAATCGCGGGAACTGCGTCCAAGGCAGGCAGGTTTTCCTGCCGGCTGCCTTCCGTGCTGAGTTCGGTTCTGTTGTCCCGTGCCGAGTGCCAACCGGCGCTCAACGTGATTCTGTATTTCTGCGTGTCAGCAACATCGTCAACGTGGTTCTGTATTTCTGCGTGTCAGCGACATCGTGATGGCAGTGTTGTGGGTTGTGAACAGAAGACTGGAATTATCGCCGATGTGACCGTGTGTTCGCGTATCAGTGGTGTAACCACAAGATGAGATGACGTAAACTGTCGGGCATTGATGCCGCTGGTCGGGCCGTTATCGAAGGGGGCGGGGTGTCGCAGGATAGCATTCCGCTTTACATTAAAGAGTTTAAAACCACTTGAGGGATTAGGTGCAGTCGATCGACGTGTGGATAGTCATGTTGGAACGCTGGTCTGAACGGTAAGCTCCTATCGTACAGTGGCCATTGCGACTGTCGGTCCCCGAGAGCGATTGCGCTCTGGGGAAAAGACTGAAAAGTACGAAAGTATGACGGAAAGTACGTATATTTACAATGGAAGTTTAGCATAAAAAAAAACAAAAAAAAAGGTAAAATCGAAAAAAAAACGCTATCCTTTATTTTACTGTTTAAAGGGCAACTCCGGTCGATACTTTCGATTTTGCGATTAAGGCTGTTTTTAGTGCAGTTAGCGCCCCTGAATTGCAAGGTGTAATTTTTTTCTCGTTATTGTGCGTAGTTTTAAAGATATCGACGTCTCAAAGTTTCGTTTGGGGCGTGGCCGACAGAACCGAAACTAGCCGCTCGAGGTTCCGGCAACACTGGAAATCAGCCGTTATGTGGACGTGACGCCAAGATCGTTCTCGTTCAGCGAGTACGCAGTCCAAGCGGCACCTACCTCTGTTGCGCTAGCCGTCTAACGATAGAAGGTAAGCTCATTTTGTTTTAATTCTGTATACGTGGTAGTTATCCAGCATATGTAGCAAGAGTTAGTGCGTATACCCAAAAGCTAGCGACTGGAAAACCCGTCAACTCGTTCGGTGGCGTACTCGGCGGCCGCCGCCGCGCGTGCGCTATGCCGTGCCGTACTCGTTGCTTGTATACCAAAAAGCTAGCGACTGGAAAACGAGTGAACTCGTTCGGTGCCGTACTCGGCAGCTGTCGGAGTGCGTGCGGTCTCCCGCACTCGTCGCTAGGCCTAAATTGTCATCGGGGCTCCGTGGATGGAGCGGCGTTGCCCTACGCCGCGCTGCCAGTGACGCACAGTGCTGGCGCTTTCGCGCTGCGGGTCAGTCCCAGTCACGAAGTTTTTTTTTTTTTTTTTTTTTTTTTGCATCTTTAAATATTATATTTACCTCCAGCCGAACTCGGGCAAATTAGAGAGTTGTAACTTACAAATCCGAACTTTCGCGATTTCTTTAAAGCCCCTTGTGGTATTCACAAGCGCAATGTTAATTAATACTGCTGCGTAACGGGTTCGAACGATTGGGAGGCGAATGTTTATATCGCATGAGCTTCACGCGCCGGCTGTTCGCTAGTAGTTGTTACGGACCTGAATACTACGCACGAGGTTGCGTAGTAAACAAGCAGTGACGCAAAGCACAACATTGTTTTCGTTTTCATTAGAAACTTCACTGTTTGGAGCTAGTTAGTGGTTGTACTCTACATGCCCACCATTCCCCATTCAACAGACGTTCAATGGAGCGTGAATGCTCATCATCTTCAACACTGCACTTGACAATGACTGTTTTATTTATTGATCAGGATACTTTTATCATGTTTACCTTTCTGTACATGTACGATGGGCAAAGAGCGACGGCACGGCATCCTTTTAAGCCTCGACCCCTTCGCTGACAAGCCACAAGCAACCAACACCTGTAGGTTTCGTTCGTAACTCTCCGGCGAAAAATGATCGGAGCAGAGCTTCGATCTGGGGGTCGACGTCCAAGGCTTTCCAAAGTCCACTCGTTGAACAGCGTTCACCCACACCTTCTACAATTTACGATCCGTTGGAAAATTGTGAAAAAGCACCTCCGGGTCGCGCAGCGGCTTGTTTGAGCAGCCCACAGCGCTTTAAGTTGTACTCGGCATCTTTCGAGGAACAGCTGGGCAGTCTTGGGCGCACCGAGTTGCTCGCTAAAACGAGTCTAGGAGTCTTCACAAACAAATAAACAAAAGGCTATACTGAAGCTACACGGGCTACAGGTAAAAGCAACGACTAAACACGCAATTACAAACCGAAGTAGCGGTGGTAGCGGCACAAAGAAGCGCGCGCGACGGCTGCGCCGTGCGCCCGTCCGGAGCGGAGGAAAAAAGGTGAACGATGTTGACATCGCGGCCCAATGTTGCTTTAGCGATCGGCAACCCCCTGGCCGCCCGCTAAGGAGCAGCGGCTCGCGGCGGGTCGCGTTTTTACTATCGGCATTAGTTGAGAATGCGGCGTTTCACGGACGTGAAATTTTGGCTGGGGTCGTATTTTGTGTCACTAAAGCGATACCAGTACTTTAATTCATTTTGAGTTTTGGCCGGAGTTGCCCTTTAAATATATTACGGTTCCTGTAGAAACTGCCCTCTAAGTGGCGCGTTGGGATGAGCGCTAGAGGTTTTCGAGCTCGCAACGGCGTAGCTCCGTACACTTAACAGTTGTCGCAAGTCGCGGCTTTGACTGCATTCAAGTTGATCGAAAAGCGATTTCTCTGCCCGTGAAGCATCACTTCCAGCTGAGTGAATATCCGCTCCACAAAGATTAATTCAAGACGGCAATTGCGGCCGTGCGCGAACAGCACAAATAGAAAAACAAACAGTACAATATAAATACTGGCTACGAAGGGCCATGCGGGAAAACAAACTCATGGCTTGGAACCACATTGGAGCGGCTCGATTTATTGGCTTTCAGATAATTATGGCATGATCGAGCTTTTTCTTTTTAATAAGAGATTCATCCCCTGAGCTATTAAAAATAGCCTCAGATGTATGACATTGCTGGAAAAAAATGAACATGTTCGGAATATTTTTTATTGCTTAGGGAGTCACCGAAAAATTCCGTACGTTCAAAACGACCAGTATATAAAACGGAAATGCGGGGCTCGGGAGTAGTGATCGGGGTAGTGTGCTGTTGTATTGATGTTTGTATGTGCGATACCTGTGTATGCATTCAATTTATGTTCACCTGATGCTTGTAGCGTGCGCAACGTGTCAACATGTGTTAGGGATTCTCGAAGAAAAGGAAACGCAATTGTGGCGTAAGGAAATAAAAATATTTTTTTGTAAAACATGAATTGGGCGGTACCTAGCGCCACCTAGCCTAGCTACGTGCGATTACTCTGCTTGATCCTGCCATCTAGTGGCAAGCGATTTAGATAAGCCAAGAGGTTGCTTCGGATTTGCTTTTTTTTTTT